ATTAGGGGTATGGAGGACCAGAGCTACGAGACGAGGCTACTAAATTTAAACATGTTCGCATTGGAGGTGAGGAGATTAAGGGGGGATATGATCTCCATGTACAAAATGTTCAATGGTGATAGCAACATTGGCGATAAACTATTTAAAATTAGCCACAGGCGGTGATTTCAGCAAAGAATGTGGAATTGTTCAAGAAACTTTTGGACGATTTCTTAAGGGACCGTAATATACAGGGGTACGGGTACTCCTAGAACGAGATCCTAATAGGTTGGACTTGATGGACTAATGTCTTTATTCAACCTCAAATACTATGTAACTATGTTGACCATTTGGAGCCTTATGGTGTTATTAGGTCTTGCTAGTACCTGAGCCCCCCCAAAAAAGACCAGAAGCTGGTTGTAGCTCAACATCACCTATCCATAACCATAATTTTGGGGTTGCTTAGCTTTTTATAGCTGGCCACACATAGGTCAAAGATCAGACCATGTCCTTGGCAATCGTCCTATGAAGGGTAGTCCCTAAGGTATTTGCCACCAGAGGCGATGCTGCTCGAATGGTCACTGGGCGGTGCGCAGATACTGGACAACACTGTCTATAGCTATCTGTAAGGAGCATTCTTCCCACCTACCACCAATGTAAGGGAAACCGCCAATGGCCACAGATGTAAGTAGGCACTTCACTGACCACCAGTGTAGGAAGGAACATCACTGACCATCAGTGTAAGGAGGCACTTTACTGACCACCAATGTAAGGGGCCCTTCACTGACCACTGGTATAAGGAGGCACTTCACTCACCGCCAATATAAGGGGCACTTCACTCACCGCCAATGTAAGGGGAGACTTCACTGACCACCAAAATAAGAGGAGACTTCACTGACCACCAATATAAGGGGAGACTTCACTCACCGCCAATATAAGGGGCACTTCACTGACCACCAATATAAGGGGAGACTTCACTGACTAGCAATGTAAGGAGGCACTTCACTGACCACTAATGTAAGGAGGCACTTCAATGACCACCAATGTAAGGAGGCACTTCACTGACCACCAATGTAAGAAGGCACTTCACTGACCACCAACGTCAGGGGCCCTTTACTGACCAGCAATATAAGTGGGACATTTTCCACTTTATGATAATAA